TATTTCCTTGGTGCCAAAGGGCAAAGTGGGTTTTCGTCCGGTTATTGATTATCGGGCTCTGAACAAGAAGATCAAAATGAATCGGTCCCATTGCCAGACATCCATTCATGTTTTCACTGGTTTAAGACCGCCAAAGTGTTTACCTCGCTTGACCTCAATTCGGCGTATCACCAGATTGGGTTAACGGACCAGTCGAAACCCCTGACTGCGTTCGCCACCGACTGGAATTTGTACGAGTACTCTAGGGTACCATTCGGGTTGGCAACTGGAGCCCAGGTGTTGACCCGTTTGTTGGACAAAGTGTTTTCCGACTTAAAATTCAACTTCGTATTTCACTATCTTGACGATCTGGTCGTCTACAGTGATTCGTTTGAAGAACACGTACTTCATCTGCGTGAGGTTTTTCTCAGATTGCGCAACGCAGGATTAACCGTTAATCCCGCAAAGGTTAGATTCGCCACGCCTCACCTGTCTTTCCTGGGGCACATCGTGGGACCCTCCGGTATTTCTGTTGACCCAGGCAGAACCGACGCCGTTAGAAGGTTCCCGCCTCCCAGGGACGTTAAAGGGGTAGCCAGGTTTATTGGCATGGTGAATTTTTTTCACAAATTTATTCCTCATTTCGTCGAGCACGCCGCCCCCCTTAACCTACTCAGAAAGAAAGACGTCAAATTTCAGTGGGGGCCTGATCAGATACGCGCATTTCAGGATTTGAAGCTCACCATTACCAACCCCCCGGTCCCCCGCACTGCCGACTTCTCCCGCTGGTTCACGCTCCAGACTGATGCTAGTTCGGTGGCGGTCGCGGCGGTGCTGTTACAGCAGTTTGATGGTGAGCTCCAGCCTATTGCTTACGCCTCACGCACATTATCCCACCCTGAGAGAAAATTTTCAACGTACGAACTCGAGTGCTTAGCAGTCCTCTTTGGCTTGGAGAAATTTAGGCCGTACCTTGAACACCTCGAGTTCGATCTGCAGACCGACAATCAGGCTCTCACGTGGTGTCTCTCCCATCCCCGCCAACTCGGGAGAATTGGTCGTTGGGTTGTGAGATTGTCCTCATTCAAATTTAATGTGCAGCACATTAGGGGAACCCAAAATGTCATCGCAGATGCTCTCTCGCGCATGTATGACCCCAGCGCCGAAAACCCTGTATGTTCGCTACTTTTGGATTTCCCTGTCCTATTCGAGGATATTGCCACGCACCAGAGGAAGGACCCAGAAATTTGTCCCATTATGGACCAGTTGTCACTGGGGCAAGAAGTGCCCGGATACTCTCTACTTAGGAGCGTACTTTATTGCAAGGCTCGTTTTGACGGTCGGCCTAAGATCGTCATCCCTCAGGCCTTAATTCCGGCCCTGTTTAGTTATTTCCATGACTCGCCCTGTGGGGGCCACCTAGGGGTGCGAAAAACGCTATGGAAAATTCGCCAATCTTTCATATGGAAGGGCATGGATGCGGATATCTCCGCTAGAGTACGGGCTTGCAAGCTCTGCGGGCTCAGTAAGCCCGCCCAGAACGCCCGTTATGGTATGCTGGCCTCTGACGTGGCTACTCGCCCACTGGAGAAGTTGTTTGTAGATTTCGTGGGGAAGTTCCCCCGGTCAAAGGCAGGTAACACCTACGCACTAGTCTGTGTGGACGCTTTTACCAAGTTTGTTTGGATTTTCCCGGTCCGGGAAGCGTCCACCGCCACGACTATTCGGGTGTTACTGAACATCTTTTCCACATTTGGGATTCCCGAGATCCTCGTATCCGATAATGCGACGCAGTTCACATCTCGCAACTTTCGCAATTTCTGTTTTGCCCGAGGCATCAGGCATGTCACCACCACACCGTACTATCCTCAGCCCTCCCATGCCGAGAGGTTCAACCGGAATTTACGCGCTGCGTTAATTGCTTACCACCATCAAGACCATTCCCGTTGGGACGAGAACCTCTCGTGGCTCCAGTTTGCATTTAATTCGGCTCGCCACGAGTCCCATAAGACCACTCCATTCAGCTTGATGTTTTCCTTTACGCCAAACTCACCCCTTTCCAACCTCTGGTCCATCAACGAGTTACTTCCTGAAACCCCTGATTTCCGCTCCATCCAGGAACGCTGGGAGGCAGCGCGAAGAAACCTCCGACTCGCGCACGCTGCCGTGCGCAGGACTTACGACCGAGGCCGCCAACCTCCTCCTTTTCACGTTGGAAGCAGGGTTTGGCTCAAGAATTACCCCCTCAGTAAGGCGTCCCAACACGTGGCGGCCAAACTTTGTCCCGGATATAGGGGACCCTTTACCGTTCTCAAGTTTACCTCTCCGGTTTCCGTTCAGCTCACAGACTCTGACGGCGGCAGCAGGATCCGCGCTCACGTCTCACAGTTGAAAGCTGCGTGAGTGGCCGACTAATAGGTTTGTAAATTCAAATGTGATATGATTTTGGTAATTTATGCTAGCGTGGTGCTTTACTGTATACTTATGCACCACGCTAGCATAAAGGCACTTTGTATAAGCGCCTTGGGATTCCTAGGTTCCCTTATATAAGTGGAACATTAAACACATCAATATATTTTCTTGTATGTGGGCCTTGGAGCCATTCTATGTAAAGGGCCCCTTGCGCTTAGTGCCTGGAGGTACTTTCTTTTTCTAGTCCGATGTTTCGGATGTATGTATATATATATATATATATATGGGCCCTTAGAGTACTCTGCTATATTATGATATTGTTGCATTGCCGCCGGCATGCTTAGGTGTAGTCATGACTATGTGTGTGTACTTTGGTATGAGTGTGTGTGTGTGGGGATCCCCATCAACTGAGGTTATAACAATACGTTATGTGTGTTACTGTACAGCTCGGTAGTGTAACCAGAGCCTATGAATTGCAATTGTCGCATCGGTGCTGTCATCTTGATTGTGTTTGTGTTTTTCACGTGCCCCAACTCATATTGCAGTTTGACCCTTAGTTCGGACGGGCTGCGCTGTCCCTTCCCGTGCTACCATCTTTCCAGTGCCTTACGCCGAAGGGTGGAAACCATCCACCGTCCCTACGACCAAGTGCGAAGCACGGTCAAGTACCTGATAAAACCAGCACCCCCTCCCCTCGGGTGTTTACTGGAGGCTTACTGCATCATCAGGCATATTATGGACATGACAACGGGACACTTATTAAGTAGCAACCAGTTTGTGGGGTGAGATGCCTGGGCTCTTATCCCTGTCTGCACATGTGCCCCACTGATGGTTCGGGTGAGGTGCGCGTCCAGCACCACATAGTGAAGTGTAGATGGGTGCTCTCACAGTCAGCGCAAGCACTTAACATCGAGACTGGCAGCAGGTAAGCTGCAACTCTGATACGATGGCCTGGCAC